GATGTTGCAGTGTGATCGTGCCCGTTTGCTGTGCCCCCGATCCGTCTCTCGTCCCGCCGGCGTCCACCCCGACCCACAAGCCCCTCCTCCTCCTCTCCGCGGCCTCCCGGGGCGGCCTCTCCGTCGGCTCCAGCATCTCCAGCTTCTCCCTGCCTCTGCCCCCCTCCCCTCCCCCGCCTCGGCCAGACCCCGGGGGCCTGGAGGCAGCCCTGGAGGCCCTCGTCGAGCTGCAAGCGCACCACCTCCAGGACCGTAAGTCGGGCCGCGGCGGGCGGGCAGAGGGCAGCTCTCGGCCCCTCCGGGAGGCCAGGGGGGCAGGAGCGGCAGGGAGACGGCGACAGGCCCCCTCCCTCTTCCCTTCCCCCGGGACTGTTCCCTTAGAGAGCCCTTCTAGCCCTGAGAGCCAGTCTGGTGTCCTGGTCAAGTGCAGGTGGACTAATCTGGGAGAACGGGGTTGGATTCCCCACTCCTCCTCCGCTTGCACCTGCTGGATGACCTTGGGCAAGCCGTAGTTCTGACAAGAGCTGTCCTTGAAAGGGCAGTTCCTGTCAAGAGCTTTCTCAGCCCCCCCCACCTGCCTCACAGGGGGTGTCTGTGGTGGGGAGGGGGAGGGGAAAGGAGTTTGCAAGCCCCTCTGAGACTCCTTCGGGTAGCGAAGGGCCATGGGGTATACATCCAATCTCTTCTCTCTCCTTCCTCTTCTTCTTCTTTCACGGAAGCGCTCTCCTCCTGAGCCACTGCCTCTTTTGCACATCCGGCCAAGGGAGACGCAGCCAGGGGCGTGTGTGTGTGGAGTCCCCCCCCACGCTAGAGGCAGCTCTGTCCCTTTTGGGTGTGCCGAAGGGGGGCTCTGGAGGCCTCGGTGGCTTCAGCATCGGTTGCTGGCAGGGGGCTCTCAGGAGGCCTGGCCTTCCAAAAGGTCTGGGGGCGGAATCCGGCTCCGGGTGCAGCTGCTGGCTGACTGAAGGGTGTGTGTGTGTGAGTGTGCCCCTGTGGACATACCTGCTGGTTTCTGCGCCCAGTTCAAAGGGCTGGTTTTGGCCCAGAGGGTCTGAGGCGGCCTGGGCCCCGGGCCCCTCAACGACTGCGGCCTCCGCCGTCCAGAGGGGAGGCCAGGGTTAGGGTTACACAGGACAGGAGTTTGGATGGCGACACAGAAACTTCAGAACGCCTTCTCAGGGATGCCCATTTCTGCTGCTCCCTCCTTCAGAGCCCCCCCCCAAGTTAAAACTGCCCAGTCGGAGGCCTGCTGGGGTTGGTCTTGGCCTCCTGATCCTTCTTTCTGCTGTGACTCTGTGGCAGCGGCGGCGGCTGCTCTGGGGAATGTCTGTTGTCTGGTGCTGTTTTGATGGCCTGGACCCTCAAGACAGCACCACACCCCCAAAAAAGTGGGGTCAGAATGCTCCCCGTGGGCAATAAGGGCAGTGCCTGGTGGAGCACGAGGGAGTCCCTCGGGCGGCGGCAGGAGCCAGGGGAGGTGGCCAAGCCAAGCGGGAGTGAGTGGAGGGGGGGTGAGGAGGAGAGAGGGGGCAGGGAAAGACGCCCCTGTGTCTGTGGGGGGGGCCTGCAGAGAGGGGCAACGCCTCTGGCTTCTCTCAGCACACACACACACGCACACACAGAGAGAGCGGGTTTCCCCTTCTAGGGAAAAGGGACCTGCGTGGGTGCCAGGAGTGCCTGAGGTCGCTCAGGGCCTTGAGGGCGCAGCTGCGAAACGTCCGGAACAGGCTCTGGGTGCTGGAGGCCAAGCTAGGGGTCCAGGTGCCCCCCCGGGAACTGGATGCAGATGAACCGGAGGAGGAGGAGGAGGAGGAGGAGGAGCCGGAGATCCCACCACCGGGAGTGCCGGACACCAGCACCGCCGAGCCGGAGGAAAGGAGGACGTGAGACTCAGATGGGCAGCCGGAGAAACACGACTGCTCCTGTCCCGGCTCCTGTCCCAGCAACGGCCTTTGTGTTCTTCCCTTTCCAGGCTAAAGGGTTCGTTTGGTTGGGTTGTGAAGAGAACTAGAAATAAATCGCTTTGTTAAAAGTGTGGCTCTGGGTATTCTTTGGGCACAAGTCCCGCAGCTGCTGCATCCCCTGGCGCCTGGTTCACCCACCGCACGAGGAGCAAGAGGCTGGCAGGATCAGGCCCCCTCACTGCCCTTCGGTCAGGCCCTCCCTAGGCCAGGCCTTTTGGGTCTTCCGCCTGAAATACACAAGCAAGCCGGGCCACTCAGGGAGTCCTGTGGTCTCAGGCAGGGGCAGCCACCACGAGTGGGGGTGCTGGGGGTGGGGTGTCTCCAGATACACGGGGGGGGGGTGTCTCCATTCCCAGACCCAATTGTCATCAGTGCCCCCAGCCCTGTGGGTGTGTGTGTGAGAGAGAGAGACACCACAGGTTTCCCATCCAGACACTTTCAGGTGTTTCTTTTCTCTGCCGTCATGAGGGAAAGAAACTTACTTTTAAAAGGAGCAATCAAATGAAGCTCAGAATCCAGGCCCCGCCTGTGGTTGAAGCAGAAGACCCGGAGTCCTGGATTTTGAGAGGAGTCCCCCTAGCTGTGCGGCCAGCCCCTCAGCTTCAGGTGCCACACCCCCCCCCCAGGATGTGAAGTGGCAAAAGAATCCCCCTTGGGGCTTGCGCATCCCGAGGTGCGGCATCCGTGCCTCTGTGCTGGGGGCTTTGGCAGCCTGGCCAGAGTCAGACAATGGCGCGCTCCGGGCTCTTTCAGGCCATCCTTTGAACAAGCTGGAATCCCCCCCCCCCACCTTCTTAGGAATGCTGCTGTTGGAAGATGCAAAATTCAAACCAAGTTCTGTTTTTGCTAGAAGCCGGGCGAGAGAAGGGTTGGCACAGGGCAGAGCGGGCACATGGGAGGCAGTGGACTTGGGGGGGGGGGGAGGTCACATCCATGCATGTGTCCCGGCTAGCAGGCACGGAGCAGAGAGATGGTTGCCGGAGCAGTCCTGAAAGCAAAGTCAAAGCCAGTCCGAGGGTCAGCAGTTCATTAGGTACAGACAGATCTGAGAAGCAGACTCCAAAGGCTGCCCGGATAGCAAAGTCCAAGGTCAGTCCAGAAATCGCAGGGGGCCTGGCAAGGCAGGAGTTGCGGTCGCTGGTTTGACAGATGTGTGACTTGTTGCTCCCACCCAGCGTGGTTTAAGGAAGCCTCTCACAGCGAGCTGAGTCAAGCAAGGCAAGGTCCTGCAATTGCCAACCACGCAAACATCTGCACTGGGCCAAGAGACGCGCACTGCGCCTTCGCTCTGTCAGTTGCCGGGGAGAACGCTCCCAGCATTCATCTGCTGCGGAGGGGGAGTTGGAGGAGTCGTCCTGCCCCGGCTGGTCTTCATCTCGAGGACTCTTCCTCCAGGCTGAGCTCCGACTGGTTGAGCGGGCCCTCAACCGCATGCTGCTCTGAGCACCTCTGAGGAAGGGCAACACCTCCCGGCGGGGCCTGCCAGGCCCCCAGCCACCCCCTCGCCACTGCACCCGGCAAGCCAAGGCTTGGGACCAAGGAGGGGCCCCTCCGGACTGGGACCGAGGAGGAGGTCGCTTGGATTCAAATGTCTCCTCCAGTGTACTTTGCATGCATGTCTTTCAAAACGGGAGGAGGTCATATAGCCCCTCTGTATAGACTGCCTGGGTCAGGCCGCACCTGGAGTCCTCCTGTGTGCAGTTCAGGAGGCCTCCCTTCACAAAAAAGGATGTGGGCAAAATCGAGAGGGTGCAGAAGAGAGCGACGAGGATGATGATGGGGGGGGCCTGGAGACTGAGCCCTCTGAGGAAAGGCTAAGGGGGGCCCACTTGGGAATGTTTAGTTTGGAGAAGAGGAGATTGAGGGGAGGGGACGTGATGGCTCTCTCTAAATATCTGAAAGGCTGTCATCTGGAGGAAGGCAAGGAGCTGTTCCAGTTGGCAGTGGAGGAGAGGACCCGAAGCCACGGGTTTAAATCACATGCAGGAAGATATCGGCTGGACATTAGGAAAAACTTTTTCCACAGTCAAAGTGGTTCAAAGGTTGGAATCAGCTGCCCAGGGAGGCGGTGAGCTCCCCTTCACCGGCAGCTTCCAAGGAGAGGCTGGAGGAATATTTGTCAGGGGTGCTTTAGGCTGGTCCTGCACGGGGGGGCAGGGGGCTGGACCACTAGATGGTCTCTGTGTGGCCCCTTCCCACTCTGTGGTTCTAGGATTCCTGGGCCTCGTGGGGGGGGGATCCAGGGGTCCTGCTGCCGTGTTGAATAATCTCATAGGGTGACTTTAGGAATCCCAATCAGTAAAACAAGATGAAGCCAGGCGGCACCCCCACCCAATGCCAGTTAGTTCCTGTTGGCATCTCCAGGCTGTGCCATCAAATGAACGGAAATAACTTGTTGGGAAGCTCTTCAAAAATCCGGGAATGGTTCTGCACGGGAATGCCGCTCCACTCAGCTGTGGAAAATGAAGGTATCTGCCCCGCCCCCCCGCCCCCCCCCCCAATGATGTATTCGTGCTGATCTGAGGTGCGGCCAGGCCTCCCCCTCGGGACCCTTGCAGTAGAAGGTCCCTGCAGAATAGCAGTGCACAACCCTGGGTGGCCTTTTGTCTCTGCGCCACTGGCGAGGGGTGCCGCCCAGGATGAGCTCCCAGGGCAAGAGGGACGGGCTGGCTGTCCCTCAGCACAGAGAGTCACATCCAGAACGCAAAGGACACCAGTGAGGGCCCCCCCCCGGGAGCGCCCCCTTCACAATCGGTGGTGGGGGAGGGGCTTCCCTGGGTCGCCCCGCTCACCTCTTCAGGTACCGAAGGCTCCTCCCCTCCCACCACCGATGTCTTTCGCCCTGAAGGCGTTCCTGGGCCCTGGAGGCTTTTCTCTCCTGCTCCAGACTGCAAAAGACATCATCGTTGTGTCTCCTGCCCGTGTCCACTGGAGGAAAGTAAGTGTTCTGGACACCAGAGGGGGCCCTTGCCTCGCCTTAGCCTTCCTCCGGAGCCCCTCCGCGGCGGCCACGTGCTCCGATCAGGGCCAGAGAAAAGAAAGGCCAACTGCCACACACACACACACCCCGGCCCGCAGCCCCTTCCTCCAGCCCCTCTTCTCGGCTGGATGCTCTCCTCCTCCTCCTCCTCCTTCTTCTTCTTTGTCTCTTGTTGGGGAACTTCTGGGTGGTGAGGGTTCTCACGGCTTCGTGCCTAAGGAAGAGGCCAGGCCGCCTGGTTCCTTGGTGGGGCCGTTTCAGATCCACAAAGTCGGGGGGGGGGGAGGCACCAAGCACCTGCCCAGACTCTGGACATGGGAAACTGCCCACAAGCGAAGTGGCCGCCTTCCCTTCTGTTTTCTTGCGCGCCCCTGGTGCAAAATGCTCTCTTCTGCCACAAGAGGGTCGGCTGCCTGCCTCCCCTTTGCCCTTTGTGTGCTCTCTCTGGCTGGCCTCTGGGCCACTCTTGGTGGAGGGGAGGGGGATGATGGACAGTGCCATCCCACCCCACCCCCTCCCCTCTGTGGCAGAGGGGGCTGAGGCAGGGCTCTCTCTCTCTCTCTCTCTTTGTCCCTTGGGGGGTGGGGGGGTGGCTGCGGATCCCTCATCTTTCCTTCTAAGGGTTTGCTTATCGGCCAGGCTCTCTCCACCCCCACCACCCCACCCCCAACGCCACTTCCCGGGGCCGGCAGAGCAAAGGGTTAAGGCCAGCTGCCTCTCGGAAGGGCCTCCCACTCACTCACTCCCTCGCTTGGCATGAATAGCCGTGCAGAGACGCCTGGACTAGACGGGGTGGACTCGCTCACTCAGCTGGCTCACTCCTCGCCGGCTGGTTCCCTGACAGGCACCGCTGCCCCTCGCCTCCTGCCCCCCTCCCGCTGCTGCTCTCTGTCGGATTCTCCTCCTCTTCCTCAGACTCCTGGACGACCAGGCCGAGCGCGCATGGAGACCCTCCTGGAATCACCGCGGCCCCTGGGAGAGGAGTCCCTCCAGATGTGGGACCTCAACAAGCGCCTGGAGGCCTACCTGGCCCGGGTGAAGTTCCTGGAGGAAGAGAACGAGGGGCTGAAGTCGGAGATCCACTGCCTGAGAGGGAGCCCAGGGGCGGTAGAGGACTCCTGGCGGGGCAGGTACGAGGAGGAGGTGGCCGCCTGGCGCGCCCGCCTGGACGAGGCCTTCCGTGAGAAGAGCGCGGCCGAGCTGGCCCGGGCCGGCCTGTGCGAGGAGCTCCAGCGGGTCCAGGGCAGGTGCCAGAGGGAGCGGGCTGCCCGGCAGGAGGCCAGGGAGCTCCTGGCCCTGAGCTGGAAGGCGCTGGAGGAGGAGAAGCGGGGCCACATCTGGCTAAAAAAAGAGCCACCCAGCTGGAGAAGGAGGCGGAAGCCCTGCTGGAAGCCCACGAGGAGGAGAGAGCCAGGCTGGAGCAGGAGGTGGCCGCCTTCTCCTCCTGGGGCCTGGAGACCTTCCGTGGTGGCAGCGGCACTGCTGCCACCACCCCTGCCGCCTTCCAGCCGGTGGAGGTGGAGGACTATTCCCAGAGGCTCTCCAGCATCTGGCAGGGGGCCGTAGAGACCTACAAGGCGGAGGTCTCCCGGCTGGAGGCCTCCTTTGGGGAGGCGAAGGAGAACCTCTGGAAGGCCACTGAGCGCAACCGGCAGAACCAGCTGCAACTGCAGCACCTGGAGAGGGAACTGGCCGGCCTCAAGGGGCGGAAGGAGACGCTGGAGGAGCACCTGGCTCAGCAGTGGCACCACCAGCAAGGAGAAGCCAAGAAGCTCCAGGTGGGTCCGGGCTTCCCCCTGGCCCCGGTGGGGAGCCAGGTGGAGGGCAGGGGGCCAAAAGGGGCTGGGGGGGCACAGAGGAGGAGAGGAGAGCTCGGAGGGATCCAGCATGGGCCCCGGGGGCTTCCCCTCCTGGAGAACGGTACCCCGGAGAACCAGAACCATCCCGCTGCAGGGAGGCCTCCCCTTGGTGCTGATCCACACTGGGAACGCCACGAACACCACGAGGGAGGGAGCCGGGGGGGGGGGGGGGGGGCCCCG